GACTGACAGTTTCATGTGAGTTGGACCATGATTCATGCTGACATTTAATGTTTTCATGTTTACATCTGTCTTAACAGGAAAACTCCAACAATGATCCAGCTGTCTGCAGGCAGCTCAGGACAACAGTTTTTCTCACTGTGCAAACAGAAAAGAGAGACACCATGGAGGCTCTTAAAATATCAGCAATTTAAAGAGGAATGTACAGAGATGACAGTTTGATAAGAGAATGATAAATCAGTGAAATCTTTAGTTTGTTAAACAGTCTAATGTGTCACATGCAGGGAAACTAATTAATCTTTGTGTTTGTAGATAAATTACTCTGTGAATGTTTAAAGTGTGATTAGTGCTGTAAGAAATGTATTATTTATGATGATTTAATTTTTTTAATGGTTTTGTTTCTTCAACAGCCAGTAAACCCAGAGCCACACTGACAGCACAAAGTTCAGTCATACCAGCAGGGGGCAGTGTGACACTGAGCTGCTCTGTGGAGGGCTCTGCTGGCTGGAAGTTTGACTGGTTCAGACGTGATTCAGTCTCTTCTAAAGCTCAGCTCATGAGAGGAAATGAAGCAAACAGAGTTATTAGTGTCTCACAAGGAGGTCTGTACCACTGCAGAGGAGGGAGAGGAGATCCAGTTTACTACACAGAGGACAGCAGTGACGTCACAGTTGTGGAGACTTGTGAGTTTTAAACCTTCTGTTATTTAAGTTTCTCATGTGTTTCATACAAATGTAAAAATAAACATTGTGGCATCAACTCCAGAAAAGACTAGAAAAACTGCATATTTATCGCTCATTAGCTGCTGTTAGTCTTTAAATTGTGTTAAATATTTTTGGCCTCTCTCTTTCTAAATGCTTCCTCACATTAAACTGACTTTAAGTGGACATGAAAGACTGTGTATTAAGCCACAGAGCCATAAAAACAAACAAACAAACAAACAAACAAACAAAAATAAAGGTTAATCCTGAACATGTTGTCATCACCAAGCTAACAGCTCAGCTAACATCAGGTCAGATCAGGGTTGGTAACCTGCGGCTCTTCCGCCCCTCAGCTGTGGCTCCCGCAAACTTTGGGTGAAACAATTAAAAATAAAAGTCCAACCTTCCTTTAAGAAGGTGGCCTGATGGGTAATGTATTCCGTGTATTCCGTGCCACAGGTTGAATGTTGTGGTGAAGACAGGGACCGCCTCTCTCTGCGTATGTGCGAAGCAGCGAGTGAGAGTAACATCTGCAGGAGGAAGTTTACAGAGTGAGAAAAGAAAAGTGTGTTTATAGCAGCAGCTACTGCAGCCAGAGAGAGTCTGACAGGCCCAGCTGTGAGCCACATGTTAGTATCCAGCTGTTCACTGTGTTCACCGCCTCCAGAGGAAGAAAGTGTGCTGCTGTAACCTTCCCACGCCTCTCTCCATCTCTGCACTTTGCCGTAAGTTGACCCAGAGCAGAAAGCTAGTTAGCAGCTATGAGCCAAACTCAGAACACTGAGCATCAGCCAGAGGTCTCCGTGGGTCAGAGCCGTGGATCTGGAGAGAAACCTGCCGTTCTGACACTCACGTCAACACGACAAAGTCTGCTTTCCATAAGGAAACAAATATCTCTTGATAGTGTTACAAATGTGCATGACATGATCAACAAGCAATGATTTGTGGCTTGAAAGCAGCTCACATTTGTGGATCTGTGTGAAGCTGGCAGTTAAATTAGACTCAAAACCCCACGTGGGCACGAGACGTGATCTGTGCGTGTCAGGTGATTCGTCCACATGTATTTAAGGTGTTGTGAGCTGTGTATTATCACCAGATATGCTGTTATTGTGCAATAAATATCTTTATGTTTTCGACCCTGAGCTGATGTATTTTATACTCAGGGCTGCCCGTGGCTGCATGAAAACAACAGAAGATGATCGCTCATTGAAATGGACTGAAGACATAATTATATACAAATAGTTTTCATGATTATTCTTCTTATTTTACAATTATTGGACCACAGCTACATTTTATTTACTTATTCTGAACTCAAACTGACCTGCAGAATGATGCTTTATTTAAAGTAGGCCTGCACAGGCCTGTGCTGTTTTTCTCCTCTTTAAAGTTTTTGTTAAAAAGTTCTTAAAAGGTAAAAAAGCTCTTCTTATTATTAAGACATCTTGTATTGTATTAAGTATATTTATTATCATCTCTGAATTATGGACGATGAATTTTAAAGAAAGAAATCTGAAAAACAATCTGGACGTTAAAATTTGTCCCTCAATGATCAGCAGTTACTCAGGTTTGTGTCGACACATTTGTACAATAGTTTGTGTGAACTGGAAAGTTGCACACAAATCACTGCACACATCTGTAAATCTTACTTTCTGCTTGTGAATCATATTATACACAGTTGCACCACTTTCAAGGTAAATTTGTTGCCATAAAAACAAGGATATTCTGTCCACCTTCACTCCCTGTCTCTGTAGCTGTAAGTGGTTCTTCAAAGGGAAAATGCAGCTGTTAGCTGTAATGTTAGGATTTGTAGATCACTTTATAAATGTGGAGTGTGTGGAGAACAGGCTGTGTGAGTCAGATACACCGGTGGGCCACCACACACGTGTACCACACGGTAAATAAATGTAAACACTGACTTTTAAATCCAACTTCATTTAAAATCAAAATGTCACCAGGATGCAGTAAATCTTTCTCCTCTGAACAACAGCAAAAACAAAATCAGGCTTCAAAATGACTTCATGTTTCTATTTGTCTCTAACTGGATATTTTTCTGTGAACAGTTCCCAGTAAGCCCACTGTGACCCTGCAGCCATCCTGGACTCAGATATACAGCGGTGAGACAGTCACTGTCAGATGTGAGATTCAGGGAGGTGAAGGAGCTCAGTGGACGTATGAATGGAGAGCAGCCAAGTTAAACACACCTCCAACATCCAATGAATACAGAATCATCAGAGCTACTGAGTCTGACAGTGGAGGATACAGCTGCCGGGGCAGAGGGGACTATTTCTTCTCAGAGTGGAGTGATATCATCACACTGACTGTATCATGTAAGATCTTTCATCCAGAGTATCTAAATAAGGAAAAAGCACTTCTTCTTTCTTACAGCTTTATAACTGTCTTTCATGTTGGTCAGTAAAATGTTTAGTTTTTATTCCAACAACAAAAACCTGAACAGCAGCTTTTTATTCACCGTGAAGAGAACAAAACATATGAGAGTAACTTCTCTGCTGTGCAGCTCTAATACATGAAAGATGAAATGCAGAACAAATGCTGAATCTGTCTCAGCTGCTCCACCACATCCACTAAGAAACATTAAATCCACTGATTGTTCCTCATGTGTGTTTTTAACTTAGAAATGCAGCAAATTAAATATGAAAGATTAGTGTTGTGTTTGTGTGATAGTTGTACAGTTTGTTTCAGCTTCACCATTAAAGTTATGTGATATTTATTATTTACATATTTCCACCAAGTTATTTAAACTGGTTTGATTCAGTCATTGACTTTTGTTCTTTTTCTAAACTGAACTGCAGATAAACCAAAGGCCAAACTGAGAGCTGATAACACAGCTGTTCCAGTAGGGGGCAGTGTGACCCTGACCTGCTCTGTGAACCCATCATCATCATCTGGATGGAAATACTACTGGTACAGAGATGAGAAATCCTCTGAAGCCCTGACCACACAAGATGCAGTTTTCCACTCAAATGGACAAATCAGTGTCTCACAGGAAGGACTCTACAGGTGCAGAGGAGGAAGAGGAAACCCAGTTTACTACACAGAGGACAGCCAGTCAGTCAGGATTGGGAAAACTGGTCAGTTCAAAGTTAATGAACCCCAAATCACTACCTGATGAAAAGTATCTGATGGAAATTGACCCCTTTTTTCATTCATTTGTTCATTTCCTGAATACAGTGTCAAACAGACCTGTTGTGACTCTGTATCCAAACTGGTCTGAGATATACAGAGGAGAGACGATCACTGTCAGATGTGAGATCCATGGAGGAGACACTGAGTGGGATTATGAGTGGGAAACAAACAGCAGGATAAAAGCTCCAAATCAAAATGAATACAGGATTAGATCTGCTTCATCATCCAACAGTGGAAACTATCGCTGTAAGGGCAGAATGAAAAGTTCACAGCATGAAACAACAGAGTGGAGTGATTCAGTCACACTGACAGTTTCTGACAGTAAGTAGAGACATAGTTCATTTAACCTGGAAATAGAAACAGTTTCTAAAAACGTGTTTTTATTAGTACATGTTGAGATATTTGACATGTTTAGATAGTCTCACTCTTAAAGTTCATCATAAATATTTGTGAGTCAACATTTTAGTGACATTGAATTCAGAGTTAAGAGACGAAAGATTGAGAGCAAATCTTTGTTGAACAGATGAACCTCGTCCTGTCCTCACTGTGTCTCCATCATGGCTGAGTCCTGGAGCCTCAGTAACTCTGAACTGTGAGGTTGAACATGCGTCTGCAGGATGGAGCTTCTACTGGTATAAAGCTGTTGCTGATCTAGCAGAGAAATCCTCCAGTTATGAGCTGCTACCTGATGGCAGTGGGACTGCACAGGACTCCTACATCATTCATGGACAGACACACACAGCAGGATATGTGTGCAGAGCTGGAAGAGGAGACCCAGAGTATCACACTGATCACAGTCGACCAAAGTTTGTCTGGTCTGCAGGTCAGTTTGAGGAATTTTGTCTCAGCTATTTTTAATCTTCATGTTGATGATTTGAAAGTCTGTAAATCTGGCTGCATAACTATCAGGACTCCTGTGAACCACGCAAAAGTCAAACGTATATTTCCACTGTGATATTTTGATCCTAACATCTGTGAGCTTTGTCTCTTCACTGCATGTTGTTTCCAGATGTTCATTCAGCAGCGTCTCTCACAGTGAGTCCTGACAGAGTGCAACACTTCACCTCTGACTCTGTCTCACTGACCTGTGAGGGAAACTTCACTGAGTGGAGAGTGAGGAAGTTCTCTGAGGACGGCCGACTCTCTGTCTGTAGGAGAATGACTGGATCCACATGTGACATCAACACATCAGAGTCAGATACTGCAGTGTACTGGTGTGAGTCTGGATCAGGAGAGTTCAGCAGTGCAGTCAACATCACTGTACAGAGTATGTTATTATACATTTATTTCTTGGATGTTAATGATTTAAACATCACGTGAACATTTGTCCCAGTAATTATGTGGTAAAAACACACAGGTTTGAATGTACAAGATCAGATCTTCATGATGAAAAGCATTTGTACAATCTGTTCTTATTATTGTTTGTTAGGTCTTTCTCAAAGTGTGCACCAGCTGATGTGACTGGAACAATATTTGTGATTGTGTCACAGATGATGGTGATGGTCCTATCCTGGTGAGTCCTGTTCATCCTGTGACTGAGGGAGCTTCTGTTAGTCTGAGCTGCAGTTTGAGAACACAAAAAATACTTTCCAATGTGTTTTTCTATCACAATGACAAACTTATTCAAAATGATCCCCGAGGGGAGCTGAAGATCTCTGCAGTGTCAAAGTCTGATGAAGGTTTCTACAAGTGTCAGTACTCAGGAAGAGAGTCAGCACAGAGCTGGATGTCAGTTAAAGGTGAGCAGGATCAAAACATCTGATGGATTTTTATGAGTTTGATGACTGAGAGGCAACATTAGATTTTCTGATTTACGTCTCAAAGTCGCCTGGCTTAATTTTGTAAAATTATATATATATATATATATATATATATATATATATATATATATATATATGTGTATATATGTATATATATGTATATATGTATATATATGTATATATATGTATATATGTATATATATGTATATATATATATATGTATATATATGTATATATATATATATATATATATATATATATATATGTATATATATATATATATATATATATATATATATATATATATATATATATATATATATATATATATATATATATATATATATATATATATAAATACATATAATTCATTAATGAATAATTATTGTTTCTTGTAACTGTGTCAGGAGCTGACAGCTCTTCATCTCCTGTGTGGTTGATGGGTGGACTGGTTTGTGGAGTCTCTCTCGTTATTATTCTCCTGCTCTTGTTGTATCGCTGCAGACAGTCCAAGTGTAAGAGCCTCTTCTTTTCATGCTGTATTACAGAGTTTATTTACTAAACACTTTAATTATTCACACATATACATGTTTTCTGATCTCTTGACACAAAATAAATGTGGGGCAATTTACACCACAAACATGTGTAATAACATTTGTCTCTTTCACAGGTTCCTGCTTCACCAGGTTGGTAAAATACTTTTTATTATCATTTTAAACAAACATCAGTTACTTTTGAGTTTATTGTGTTTATTTCCTGTTTCAGGTCGATCCAGTCTGAGAGTCACAGTCCGGGCTCTTCCACAAATCATGGAGTCAACCAGGATGAAACTCATGAATACAACTCTCTTCATCCTGGTCAGCACTTAAACCGATCTTTATTATCATTATTAATATTGACTTTTCATTCAGTCTCCATTAACAGGAACATTTCTTAGGTTCAGTTTGTGTTCAGCAGCTTTAAAGAACATTTATAAAAATCCAGTTGGACAAACATCCAAATAACCAACTGACTACATGCACAAAAGATCAGAAACAAACAGGATTTTACAACCTGATTGTATCTTTAACTCGACTGAAAGAATCCACAAATGTTGTTGTTTCATATCAGAACAACACAAACAGTAACACCATGATGGGTTCATGCTCTGAAAATATCTGATAGTCCTGGATTTGACTTAAACACAACTAATGAAATTGAATGTGATGTGTTCACAAACATTTTTACATTTCAGGTGCAGATGAAGCGCGAGACGTCACATACTCTCTTATTAAACTTCAAAACTTTAGAAAGAAGAGTGAGTACACAAAACACAGTGTAGAAAAAAGCCTGGGAAGTTTTTACAATATTTAAAATGTTTTAATTATTTTCATGTATCTGATCATCTTCACAGAGAAGCATCATAAACCAGAGCAGAGTGCTGTTTACTCTGAGGTGAAGACGGGAGCTGCAGGTACAGTCACAACAGTCTCATTCAGTGTTTGTACTTGAACGTGTCATCACATCATTATATTGCAGGTAATTATAGGTCAACATGGAGTTTAGTTATTCACTGACCAAGCTTAGCTACTACATACGACCACTACACATCAGCAGACTGAATCTTATACACATCGAGGGCCGTTCAGAGTTTAGTGTAAGTTTGTCTGCTTCATATACAGAATGATATTGTTATTGTACAGTATGGTATTGTCCATCTATATGTCCCCGAACTAAACTGTTTCTCTCATGTTTTTACTCTGTAATGTTCTTGTCATCATATCTGTGCTGAACAAATGTGTCCTGAGCTCTGACGTCTCTTTTAGAGGACAGTCTGATGTATGCTGAGGTCAAACAGCCCAAAAAAGAAAAAGCCAAGAAAAACAAAGGTGAGCAAAGTCTGCCATCATCTCCACTGAATATTGTTCAACATGTTTATTTTACAGGTTATATTTATGTATTCACACTTTGTCAGCTTTTTAAAATCTTCTCTTTTATCTTTGCATTATTGGAGACATCAAGTTTCCTCCTGGTTAATGATATTATTGTTTTCAATGATCTTCTCTTCATTCACAGGAACATCAAGTCCTGCAGCTGATGCAGCAGTTTATTCTGAAGTCACATCAGGAAGCTCTCTCAGTAATTCTGCTGCCATGCAGGCTGATTTATTCTTCACATTATTAAATGTCTTCAGCTCATAATATCTTTACATGTTGGAAATCACTTTGTCTCTTTGTGCTCGTCTTACAGGTCAGTGAGGAGAGCTGTAGCAGCAAAGCCAAGAAGAAGCTTTTTATGAAGCCACTCTTGCTCCTCTGCTGCCCAAATATCAGACATGCTCAGCTTTATGTACAGTTACAATATTAAGTAATAATATCAGACATATTGCTCTCTTATAGCATAAATAAATGCAGGTGTATTTCTATTTAATATTCATGCTTTTTATATTCAGTTTTTTATTAAAGATTTTGTAATAAACCTTGAATGTATCTAACATGTTCCAACAGCAGTAGGGATGGGTATTGAAAACCGGTTCTTGTTGAGAACCGGTTCCCACTGTTTCAATTCCTTGGAATTGTTTGCCATTTTTGCAAACATTCCCTTATCGGTTCCAGTCGCCCCGAATGACATCACCACGTTGCGGAGCGTCATTTACCTGGCAGGAAACGGCGCCTAAGCGGCTTAAACGCTCAAAAGTTTGGTTATACTTTACGAGAACGGATGACAACAGGGCAACTTGCAGTACTTGCAAAGTAGATATTTCATTTAAGGGAGGAAACACTACGAATATGCAAAAGCATTTGCTCACAAAACACAATGACCTTAAATGAATGTCGTGTTTTTAATTCCGCTCCGGACTCGTGAATCTCAACCCAGCAGCAGCGGTAACGTTTGCACGTCCTCTCCTGTTGTATAGGATAAGGTCTAATCATCTCTTATTTTACTCAGATTGCACAGAGTGTGTATTTGTTAATAATTTGAATCATTTTGGAGTAAGGATAAGTGTAAGATAATGGGGAATTTCAGTTTTTACTTTATAATTTGTTTAGCGTAAGATTTACAGTTCAATTGTATTTTTCTTGCCTTATTTAATTGTACGTACTGTTCCTTTAACACACGGTAACTGTGCACTGGAGGGTTCGCGACAGGCAGTGTGGAGCTACGGGGGCTTTATCTAGCTGTGGAAAAAAACAGTTTCTTACCGTGTTTGCAGAGTACTGGGACATTCAAATGGATCACTGTATTTCAAAACTGTGGATATAAATGTTTGCCTGTTTGTTTTTCGACTACAAGCGGACTTTGTGGATTATGTTCAACTGCACTAAGACACGCGTACGGCCCGACTACCAGCTAGTGCTTGCGCGGTGATACCTGTTAATGCGGCAGGTAAATGATCAACTAACAGTGCATATTATGTTAGCGCGATCTGCCTTATTACAAAACCTGCCATTACTGTGCATTTAGGTGACCGTGATGAGACAGACAGAGTCTGGCTCAGATGCTTGCAGTTCTCGCTGCAGTCTACCGTTAGCGTCTCCTTTCAGGCCAGGATAGACGAATGTCACCGAGCAGTGACTAAGTTTGTGGTCAAAGGTTTGCACCCATTTGCCACAGCAGATGCCCCCGATTTCACTTTGGTAAGTGAATGTGTTTAATTGTAGGCAGGGACATTACTGGATATTCTTGTGTAATTGCTACAGAATAATTTATGTTATACTTTGTTATTGCTACAGACGAATATTTATTTTATTATTTTACATTTACAATTTTTTTTCCCGGGGTCCCTGTGACACCCCATTGAAGAGCTGTAGGCTGGATCTCTTAAGATCTCACTGCTGGGTTTGCAAGGCCATGTTACTCCTAAATTTCTTTCTTGTTCAAAGAGAAGATATAAAACAAAGTTCTAAGCTAATCGACCTTAGTGTTCTCCTTTTTTAAAAAGAATCGATAAGAGAATCGATAAAGAATCGAATCGTTAAACAGAATCGAAAATGGAATCGGAATCGTGAAAATCTTATCAATACCCATCCCTAAACAGCAGTGAGAACAAAGTGTGAAATATGTGATCTTTAGTATCTGACAGCACAACTTAAAGTCAGTGTTTGCAGTGCTTCACAAGTAAATACTGATATGGGCTCCAACAAATACTTTAACTGTGTTTGTCCAAAGATCTCGTACATAATATAAATAAGAATTATATCATAGGCAGTGAATACATTTGAATGTATTTCATGTATATTTTTGTGTTTCTGATCATTTTTTTGCATCTGTAGTTAGAAGATAGAAATAAAATCTTTTGACATTTGAACATTTTATGTGTGATTTTAGTTTCCTGTATGAGATTATTGACAGACAAACAACACAAGCAGGTTGTAACCGTGCTGCAAATGTGACAATACAGATCAACATTTTATTCCTCCTGTGCAGCTACGATGCATCTGTGTGTGTGTGTGTGTGTGTGTGTGTGTGTGTGTGTGTGATCCTTGGTCCTTGTCTATTCTGTCACAGGTTTATATTTATCTACTGGCTGACCTCATGGTTTGTGGCTGTATCACCATGAAAGGAGGAAATGCAGCCTGTGGTTTCAGCCTGAAGTCTTCAGTTTAGCAGTTGTGTAGTTTTATGTTATCAGCTCACAGCAGAAAGTTAACAAGGAATTCAGACAAAGAGCACGGTGGAAATTTCACTTTGATCTTTGTGTGCATGACACATGTTTATGTGACCTGCCTGTACTGAAATAATAGCAATAGTTATCAATGCTACATTAAAGTATGCATGGCAGTGTGTGAAAACAGACAAAAGTAGCATCATTGTGGTGATGACACAATAAAGATAATAACATCTTTGTGGGAAAATGTGAAAGGTTTGTTTCTCACACTGAAAAGCAGCTGCCTTTCAGTCTCTGTATGGATGTGCTTTAAAAATGCATCTATGTGTGAATTAAATAAAAATAATTTCTATTTCTACCCTCAAAATCGTAACTTGTAACACATGATGGTTTTGTAACCAAACCTTTATGCTTCACTCATATTTATCTGTCTGCTGGACTCTGGAGTTACATTAAGCTGCTCCATCCAGGAGGAGTTTGGTCTGTGATGGAGAAGCTGAGCCTTTCAGTAAAATCAATATTATCGTTCTTCATTAACAATGTAATAGATCTGTAAATCAAACCAAAGTTAAATTATTCAAAACTGATAACTGAAAACCAAAATTTGAGAAGGTTTAACAACAAGCTTACATTTCTGTATGTTTTTGTTCAGTTTTTGCACTTTAAGTACAAGAAAGGTACTTCAGTATTTTTTTAAAAACTTTTTTTTTTCATATTTTTTTCCCCCAGAACAGAGTTTCTTGGATATGTAAAGCAAATAAAATGAATTTAAACAGAAATTAACTGAGAAAAAATACAAAAGCAAAAACTTTGTTAAATAGGGTTGAAAGACACTTGTGTATCACAAAACAAGAAAAAGTTTGAACATGAACACGTCACACGACTGCTGTGGTCAAAGCTACAGGAGCTGTTTGAGGTTGGTGTAGAAGGAAGGAAGCACAGAGAGGTGATAGAAGGAGGAGCTGAATATAAACTCTGGTCTTATCTACATGAAGTGCAGCTTCTCTTTGTTCTGCATTTATTATCAATGCAAAGTCGAAAACTTTGAGATTAGATGCAGATCAGCGTGCAGGGCTGGACGTGAGGATGGGGCACTCTTTGCTCTGTTTGCTGGGGTTATTCTGTGAGTACAATACACACCTTTACTGTTTGAATGGCAGTGATGAAGGAAAATGTTTCTCACTGGTGACAATTACAGTGTTTCACTGCTTTAACCTGTTTACCTGACAGCTTCAACACAGCAGACTGGATTTTTTTTCATCACATATTTTTGGTGATGAGCAATAACTGTGCCATATGAAGACTTACCGTTAAAAAGCCTCAGTTTATATATTTATTGTGATTTTGTCAGTTGTATAATGTCTGATGATGTTTCATTCATTACTTTAGTGCTCAGTACAGTCATCCATGCAAACACTGAAGGTGAGAAATTGTTTTTTCTTCCATTTATATCATATGTGTTGATCTTAACTACTCTACATTTTACTCTAAATGATGTCCTCTGTGTTATATATTTTTTTATTATCATAAACTAAAGATTTCATTGAGATTATTGGTTAAAATGTTAATATAACCATGTTAAGTGTGTGAGCACTCAAACACACACCCATGATACAAACTGTATATTTACTGAAGAGCTGTGGCTTCATACATGTGGATTTTCTTTTCATGTTTATCTGATCTGAAAATATGTGTGTAGTGCAGATTATCTCACTGAGTTATGTTGTTGGATTGTATGCTGGATTATATATATATATATATATATATATATATATATATATATATACATACAGCAGACATATACATATACATATATATATATATATATACATATATATATATATATATATATATATATATATATATATATATATATATATATATATATATATATATATATATATATATATATAGGCATATATATATATATATAGGCATATATATATAATTCTTTTTGATTACCTTTTGGAGCTGTAAATATGCTAATTATCAAAAGCTCCACACAGATGACAAATTAAAGGAAAAACCAACATGAAACATGATAACCAAATGCTGCTCTGAGCTCAGCATAGAGTTTGTTTCCTTCATCCCTCATTTGGTGTTTTGATCAGAAGCTGTCTAACACGTCACTCCAAAGTCTCTGTAGATGTTCACTATGTTGAATTGTGTGGCTGCATGCAAAAGATGATTCACATTATTTAAGTTTGCTTCAAACATTCAGAGCAACAATTTTATTCTTTTGATATTTTTCTAAATTACAGAACTTGGAGTGAAGGCCACTCTGACAGCAGACAGATTAACTATACCAGCAGGGGGCAGTGTGACACTGACCTGCCAAGTGAACAACTCTGCTAACTTTCAATATGACTGGTTCAGAGAACCCCGTTTAAACTCTAACCAGAAGTTCGCAGTAGCTGGTGAATCAAAGAGAGAACTGGTGACCTCTAAAGGCGGCATCTACAACTGCAGAGGACGTATAAAAGGGACAAATTCAGTCACAAAAGAAAGTGATGCAGTCATCATTCAGGAAACTGGTGAGTTTAAAAATGTCATAAAAAAATCAAACAACATGAATTCTCCAAAGTTTGGAGATCAAAAAGGGATAATATTATGACATAAAAGTATGTAACCTGCCAAGTTATTTCTGATAATATAAAATGTTGTAAAGTTAATAAATAATAAACAATAATGGGGTTATAATATTTGATAATACTGTTTTTATTTTTAATGATAATATGTTAATCAGTCA